TGAGCCTTGGCTTTCCTCACTTCATCTTTGCAGGCTCGGGCTATTTGTTGATATTCTGATTTAGTTATGTGCCCCTCTTTCCACTTTCTATACTTGTCCTTTTTGTCTTTCAATTTGTCAGAGAGTTCTTTATGCAGCCATGCTGGTTTCTTTTGAGAGCTGTTATTTTTCCTCTTTGTTGGTATTGAGGTAGACTGGGATAGTTCTGTTGTGTTGTGGGTTTTTGGAGGCATTGACAAGACTGGTTTAATGCAACGCTATTTATTGCAACAGAAAACAGAACTGGCTTAATCGACAGAATGACGGCTATTTATACTTGCTGCCTTTAGGCAGCGACGAATCAAATCAAACGGTGTTTTCCCGCTCAAACTCAAACTTAACTTTCCCTCCAAAACAGTTGGAGACACGTTTAAATTAAAACACATTAACTCTTGATATCAATACATAACAAGTTCCATGTGAGCGACGGGCATGTATCTCTTTTCTTCCACTTTCCCTAGAATTACAGATTTCTCAAGACAACTAGTCTTTGCACCCTGTGCCCAAAATGTGTTAATTTCATCCTTCCATTCTCCATCAGTCAGTTAGAACTGAAGAAGCTTCTTGGATGAGAAGTGAAAGATATTCAAAGAAAAAGAAAATCAAGAAAGTCCAGTTGCCTTTTGGAAAAGCACCTTTGGGATAAGGAAGAGAGTTGTTAAGTGAGTTTTGCCTCATTTTGCACCCTTTCTTGCCACAGTTGTTAAGTGAATCACTGCAGCTGTTAAGTTAGTAACATGGTTGTAAAGTGAATCTGGCTTCCTCATTGACTTTGCTTGTCAGAAGGTTATCAAAACTGATCACAAGACCCCTGGACACTGCAACTGTCACAAATACATGCCTGTTGCCAAGTGTCCCAATTTTGATCAGATGACCATGGGATGTTGTCGTGCTCATAAATGTGAAAAATGGTCATAAGTCACTTTTTCAGTGCCATTGTAACTTCAAACTGTCACTAAACAAATGGTTGTAAGTTGAGAACTACCTTATTTCAGCAGCTTCAGTTGGACTAGATCAAAGTCATCCAGCTGTTGCTGGGTATTGGCTTCCTATAAGCTTCTGAATTCAATTCAGAGCACTAGTTTTGACCTTCAAAGCCATACATAGTTAGGCAGTGAAGTACTTGCATGTTTCTTAACCCAATTTCAGTCCACCCAACTCAAACATCTGGGCAGAACCATTGTTTGTCCTGCCATCTCCCTGAGATAAAGTGGTTTGGAACTCATAAGTGTACTATTTCAGAGGAGGCCCCTGTAAGTTTGTAATGTAACCAACAATGGAAGCTTTCCTGTGTTTCTGCAGTTGTGAGAAATCTGCCTACTTAAATTGGAAACCAAAACCTTTGAACAGTTCTCCTTCCCATCATGTCAGACAGCCCTCAATGGAACAGTTCTAAGAATTTTATCAGTGTTTCTCATCTTTAGTAACTTTAAAATGTATGGATTTAAACTCCCAGAATTCCCCAGCCTTTATCCTCTTAGCTTGCAGATTGCCTGGGGAAGTCTGAGAGTTGAAGTTAACATATATTCAAGTTACTAAGACTGAGAAACACTGAATTATATGTTTGGTCTTTTACATTTGAAACAGAAAGATTAAAGATCAAAGAATGAATACTGTAACTCTTGATAGACTTGAACACCTATCTAACCTATCTAACACAGTGACCCTTCATGAAACTGTGAGAACTGCTACACATAATTTTGATTTGAGCACAAATTAGATCAATCGATCAATCAGCTCCTTCAATAAGCTATTTTTTTTCTTTTTGCAAGTCAATAAATATTTTATCTACTTTCAATGAAGTTACTTAATTACTTAAAGCCTATCAAGTGGCTTGTCTGATTCTGTAGTTGCCACCATCATTTGGGGTGGGTTTAAATAGTAGATTTTAAACTGTGGATTGCCAGAGTTGTATGCCACCCAGAGTCACTGTATGGGAGTTGGGCATCTATATACATTTGTTTAATGAAAAGGAAGGAAGGAAGGAAGGAAGGAAGGAAGGAAGGAAGGAAGGAAGATTTCTGAAGCTCCTTGTCTGCTTCCTAGGAGGAAAATTAATAGTGATTATGCATAGGAGATGACCGGGTTGAGCCCGAGGAAGAAGGTCAAATGCATCATCAGTCTCAAGTCCTTTCACACCTACAACAAATGTTAAGTCCAGCCCACCTTGAATTCTGTTTATTTTTATCCACCACCAGTTTTCTTTGACCATTAATAGTTCAGATTTTTATAAAGAGCATTAGCATACAGTAAACCTATATTCATTTGAACTGCCTGGATTCCTGATTTCCTGCACTTGACATTATGTGACTGCATGACAGTGCAACCCAGATTGCAATCTGATGACTTCAGGGGTGCTGGGATGACCATAATTCTTAAAACCAGTTATTAGTACCACTTATTCAATACTGTCCAAACTTTGACCACTTACAAGTGGTTGTTAACTGAAGACTACTCAAAGTTAGCCAATATAATTCAGAATTAACACAGGTGGGAAAAGATTGTTTATAATATCTAAAAAGGAGATTACTTCCAAGGCATAATATTTTATAATACCAGTAAGCTGTACAAAAATAGTTTCTAAAAACAGGAGTCCTCCTAGTTTTTCATCATTAGATGGTCCTTGGTGTTCATGTCAGGTCTCAGGATAATAATGAAGCATTTGGGGATAAAGATGCAGCCCAGTAAGCCCAGGCTGGAGGCCAGGATGGAGAAGATTTGCACAGCTATCATGTATTTTCCTTTGGTGCTCAAGTAGGTGGGGACAAAGGAGATCCAAACACTGCAGAAAACCAGCATGCTGAAGGTGATCCACTTGGCTTCATTGAAGGTCCCTGGCAACTTGCGGGCCAGGAAAGCCACCAAGAAGCAGATGGCAGCCAGAAATCCCATGTAGCTAAGCACAGTATAAAACATGGCAACTGAGCCTTCATTGCATTGCATCAAGATATATCCTGGTTGGGAGTACAGGTCAGAATCTGGGAATGGGGGAGAGATTCCCAGCCATATGATACAGATGCCCACTTGAATACCAGAGCAGAACAAGACGATGGAGTTTGCCAGACTTTTCCCCAGCCATTTCCTCATTGTGCTGCCTGGTTTTGTGGCCAGAAATGCCACCACCACCATGATAGTCTTGGCCAGCAAGGAAGACACGGCAACAGAGAAAACAACACTAAAACTAATTTGTCGAAGAAGACAGGTCACTGTGTTGGGGCCACCAATGAATAGAAGAGAGGTCAAGAATGAAAGTAGGAGGGAGAACAGGAGAACATAGGTTAGGTCCCGGTTGTTGGCTTTGACTATTGGAGTTTCTCGGTATTTAATGAAAATTCCCAGAACAAAGGCAGTAGTTGTAGATAAGGCAATGGCAAAGAGACCCAGGATGAGACCTAATATTTCTTTATAGGACAGGAAAGTTATAACTTTGGAGATACATTGATCTCGCTTCTTATTGGAATGCTGATCATCTGGACACTTCTCACAATGGGTTGCATCTGAAAAATATTTGCTAACATGTGCTTTTTTCTGCAGCTATAGGATTGTGACAAATGCAACTGAAGTCAATTACTACAACAATACATAAAACATATTTTTAAGTGTGATAGGAGAGATGGAGACTATTAGAAAATTCTTTCCCTCTGTACTTGGTTAAGGCCTGAGTTGGAATGTGAGAAAACATATTCATGAAGGATAAATGGACAAAGAGTAATAGTGAAGAAGTGCTTGGGAACATACAGCTGAAAGTGACCTGAAACACAATAGTGTAGTGCACCATTGTCTTTGGAATCCTACCAGAGACATCAGGTGGGCACAAATCTAGAGCTTTGGTTTTAATTAACTTAATTGCTGTTGGGCTCTCACTCATTTGATTGTTCCAGCAAGTGAAGAAAATTGTTGAATGTGTGGATTGAAATTTTATTAATTTCAATCATTCATGTCTGATTTAAGTCAAATATAATTGTTATCTTTATATTCATTATTATTATGGCTCTTAATACAGCAAGCCTGGCCTGTGTGGAATCAAACAGAGGCCAGATAAAACAATAATCAAGGCTCATTGAAGTATTTATTTATTAAACAGTGTGCACTAGAAGGAAAGGGTCTCTTCCAAAAGTATAGTGAGAGACACACCCCTGGAGAAAAGGGATATACTCATATTAATTAATTTCATAAAAGAGGAAAAATGATGCATAAATACATATTCATAAAGAATAATATAGTAGATTTCGGGTTACTTCCTGTCCTTATGTTATCTACAGAAAACAGTGGATTTAGTTAGAAGAAACATTTGCATCTTGATATTCAGGAGTTGCTATGAGAATGTTCTGATTAAATCAAAAGTCACTGACAACTACCAGGACAAATTTCTTATGTCTCGATTTGTCTATGTTGGAGCTCAATTTTTCCATATAATGATAATGCACACATGTCCAAGGGTTAGGGTTGTGGACCCATAGTTCAATAGTTCTTCCCAGAGACCCAATATTAATTAGAAATAATTATCACTTGTTTTAAAGCTGAAAAGCAATGAGATTATTAACTCTTACAATACTTGACTTCTTTTCTGAAGCCAGATAAGAAGATAACAAGAGATTTAGGCTACCTTTCATCATTTATTTTAGTGGCCACATCATCAGGTTGACTTAGCCTTCCATCCTTCCGAGGTTGGTAAAATGAGGACTCAGAGTGTTGGGGGGCAATATGCTGACTGTAAACTGCTTAGAGAGGGCTGTAGAGCACTATGAAGCAGTATATAAGTCTAAGTGCTATTGCTATTGCTATCATGCAACATTGGGTGGACAGTACCTACAGTAAATCTTGAAACGTTTGGGGACCTCTTTAAGAAATTCAATTTTTCTTGTTTTGTGAAATTTGTGCTAGAAATTGGGTCTAAAATTAGCAGGAAAGAAAACAGTTTTAGAAAATGTTGACCAGAAAAACAAGAATGATTTTTGATTGCATCCTCAATTTCTGTCTATTTTCAACAGCCACCTACCTTCATGCACAGAGAATGTTCCTTCCATACACAGAGAACAGTCATAGCAGCAAACTAGTGCTCCCTCTCTCAAGAGCTTGGCATGTCCTGGGTAACAACTTTCTGAACATCTAGAAGAAGGCACCGTCTAAGTATAAAAATAAAGGTCAGTCAGGGCAACATATGAGTTAAAAGAGTTTATTTCAATGCACTGGTTTCTGAAAGCTGAGAAGTACATTGAGCAAATGTAGCCACAGACTAGTAGCATAGCAGTTACTGATGGAGACCTCAATCTTCCTTTCATTCTAACTGTTGGAGGTACCATCCAATGTGGATCTTTATGGAAAAGAACTCTGCACATGACCAGAAAATGAAAGACATTCTCTTTATCAATCTCTATTTTCAGTCCTAAAACATAAAGGTAAAGGTAAATATTTCCCTGTCTAGTCATGTCCAATTCTAGGGCGTGGTGCTCATCTCCGTTTCTTAGCTGAGGGAGCCAGCATTGTCCAAAGACGTTTTTGTGATCATGTAGCCAGCATGACTATATGCCAAGGCTCACAGAATGCTGTTACCTTCCCACCAAAATGGTACCTATTTATCTACTTGTATTTTCATGCTTTCAAATTGCTAGGTTGGCAGGAGCTAGGCCAGGTAACGGGAGCTCACCTCATTGCACAGGGCTTAGGCCTTGAACCTGGACTGTCAGTTTCCAACTGACAAACTCAGTGTCTTTAACCACTGAGCCATTGTGCTCCCTTCCTGAAACATACACTTTGTTTTATTCTCTATTCTGAAGGAAACTGGTTCCATTGCAAAATATGTTTTTTCTAGGGGAGGCTCCCCTTCCTTTCTTTGGAAGGAAACCTCCAAAATCTGGCTTTCTTTGTCACTGTGTTTTTCTCCTAAAGCTGAATATTGTATCATTGTATATAAATGACTTTCAACAGGCCTCATTTTTCCCAACACATTCTCAATTTGACATCTTTCTCTCATGCAATCCAGTGGACTACTCCTTTGAAAACTTTGGCTTTTCTTTTATTCAAAATAGGATTGTTTCATAGCCTGTTAATTATGATAGCATCTTTCCAATTTAATAATGTAGACTGTAGAGGCCATAACACAATTGATGGTGCAGCAGGTTCCAGTTTGTGATAAACTACTGAAAAATCCCCAAAGATACATGATCTCTAATGAATTAATAGGGCTTTAGATTCCTTTAGTTGGAGGTTATCTCCATTATTCTGAATGTTAATTGTTTCTGAACAGAAAAGATGGCATTATGTGGAGTTAAATAGAAGAGCAAAAATGAAGAAACTTCAGCTACTTTGTTAAATGATGTTGGCCATTGGATGGCACTCTGGTTGATGAAGACCTTGACTTCAGAGAGGACATCTCTTTCTGCACTTCCAACTTTCACCCCAGCAGTTGACTTGTTGGGAAAAACTGTCCAGTGCATGATATCAAAGTTAGCAGCAGGAACTCCATTTTCATCCAAATAAACCCCATCCCTGGAAATATTGTGAAGCTGGAAGTTTCTCATGAGTTGATGAAGCTGCAAAGACAAAGAAAATCACACATGCATCTTACAGATTCCCATTTCAGCCTTTATTCAATGTTTTATGGCTATTATTCTGGATTGTAAGTATTCTGAATAATTTAAACCCCTCAGCTCAGCACTTCAGATGAAAGAGGTTGATTGAGGATTTCATGGGAAGCTATTCTCCCTTTTCTTCCAGTGAACAATAGATCTTATTCAGATACTGTATGTCTAACACTTTCTTAAAGGAATCACTAAGTTCTCCAACCAAGCCATAACTCAGCAGCTTCATTTTAACAAAATCCAAAATTACATAAGGCTGAAAATTTAAGAATTTATTTAATCTCCAAGAGTCTCCTTGTGAAATCATACTTTTTAATAGGGTTCCTGTCTGGAGACCAAATCTAACTGTAAATGGCTTAGTAGATTGCAAGCAGCCTACTTCAGCTCTCTAGCACCCTTCAGATGACATAGCCAATACCAGTAACTAGATGTGCAGGTGAAGAGAGAACAATTTCATGGAAGCTGTGAACACATTGGAACAAATGGGCAGGCTGGTCATGGTACTCAGGAGAAGAGGCACAAAGATCTACTCCCTGTCAAGTAACTTTCAGAGCGAAGAATGGGAGCTTTGCTGAAGATCAAAGTGCTTCAAGGAGGCCAAATCTTTGCTGAGCAGAAAGGAAATAGGGATGGAAGAAGCTGAAGCTGCCTTGTATAAACAGTGTTTCTTATTGTTCTGTCCCCGTTCCGACCCACACATCCAAACAGCCAGCCGAGGGTTTAAAGACTTCTCCAGACACCACTTCACAGATAAGAAACTTGGCAGCAGCTCCGTAGCTGCCTGCCAAGACCTTTTATCTCCAAACACCCAGAAACAAAAACAATACCACAGCACGCTACTTTGCCAGAGATTCAGCTTTTGTCCGTCACAGAGGTCCAAATGGCCACCACCACCCTTTTATAGCCTGTGGGGTGTGGTGTGGTCCAGTGACTCAGCTTAATCTCTGGCACGTCTCTTTTTCTGCTGCGCACGCTTATCGCTCCTACGCTGGTGTGGATCCAGTCACAACTTTTCTTCCTCATTATCTGACACACCTGGCTCCTGGCCAATCTGAGACACACCGGGCTCCTGGCCAATCTCTGAACCACCTGGCTCCTGGTCAATCTCTTCTCCGTCAGAAGACACCTGAGGCATTGCCAAAGAGGAGGGTCCTGGAGAGGGAGGCCTAGCCATCTCCTCTCCTTCATGTTCGGAGCCTTCTTCCTCCGATAAGAGGGGCTCACAAGACGGAGCCACAACACTTATATCCTCCGCCACCTCCTCTCTTAACTGGAGCAAGACAAAAGCTCTGGAAGAGGAAAGTCCAGAGGGAACAGGGAAGGATGCAGGAGATCCACCTTCAGAACACTGTAGGAAAAGCGGAGGCTTTGTGGGAGCTGAAGAGCAGAAGAACTTCAAAGTAATAAAAGACAGAGTGAACTAGGTTGGAAAGGAGAACAGACCCCACAACCTAAGAATATACACATTGGTGTGATATAAATAGGATTTCTTGTCACCCCCTCCTTGCTTCAGGAAAACCATTGATTGTGTCGATCTTTGATTCCATTTGATTTTGTAGCATCTGCAGCAGTATGGCCATGAAATGTGCTATTTTCTTTGTAGAATCTGCAATTGCACCCATTTTACCTTTTATTCTGGGGTTGTTGCCTTCCTTCTTTGACCAGAACTTCTGGGGGATGAAACATGCATAAATCTGGGTGCTGCAGGAAGGAAAAAAGACAGTGGGAGTGAGCCTTCACAGAAGATGAGACCTACTTTTATCTAACTGTTACAACCTGAACTCTGTGATGGATGAAGACTTTCTTTCTCCATTTTCTTCTCCTTCTTTCTCTCTTGCCGATCTTCCTCTCAGGTTGACTCCTGGGCTATTTCTGGCTTCTTTGTCTTTCTCATTTATCTTTCTCCAATTCTTTGTCTGCCTTGCTGGCTCTTCCTAGGAGGGCTGTTAACAGGTGCTTATAACAGGCTGCCCAGTTTCACCAATGCTACTCCAATATAAAGCTGAATGTAGAGTAAGGGCAATCTTCTTTTTACTGCCATCTGACATTCTTCCTAAAATTGTTAAAACTGTAGAGAGAAACCTCTGTAATGCCTGCCTAGTGATTTGTGAATGTCTAGTTAGGCATTACGTTGGAAGATGCTTTAAGTCAGTTGTCTCTTGCTGCCCAAACCCGAAAATCACCATCCATCAGAAATCAGAAGGTTTGTCTACACCACCCAAAAGGGATCAATAGTAGAACAGCAGATGCCAGTCTCTGTTGCTTCTGCAATACACTGCCATCTGAGGCTGGGCATTTTGGGGATATTGGAAAGCTTGTAATGAGAGAAGATGGAGAACACCATTTTAACATCAGACAAGATTAAGATGAAGTTAGAGGGTGAAGTTGTCTCTTTCAAAGACTAGCTACTGAGGCATTTGTAGTATTCCAGACAGTGTGTGGATGAGCCTTTCAATACTTCCAGAAGATGCTATGAACAGACATTGATTTATAATGGTTATGAGATGAACTTTTAAGCAGCAACCACTTTTACTCCAGAACACAAAATTAAGACTAACTCTTTGGCTCAGAAACTAGGTAAGACCAGCATTTGTGATTACAGGAGAGGGTTGAAGGACTGCTTGAACATCCTGGTGCTTATTTAATTTGCAAATGGGGAAAATGTATAGTCACTATAGAGTTACTGTATTTCTGTCATTACAGTATCCTACACTTGGACAAATACTTTGGAAATCTGTCCCCATAATCTCTCTCTCCCCCCCTCCCTCTCCCCCTCCCTCCCTAACCCTCCCTAGCCCCCCTCCACCTCTCTCTCCTGTACACTGGGCAACTGATGTTTGGAACATTGCAACTCTCCCTACATCCAATTTCATATTGAGGAACTGAAAGGGGAATATCAATGGAATTTCAAAAGAGAAGTCTTACCTGCCATGGCTGTACAATCTGGGGTGACCAATCATTTCCAATATGCATACTCCTCTTACAAATTTGGGAGAAAGAGACAGCATTGAGGACCGAGGCCACAGCTTGTACTGTTTTGGAAATACTGGAACCATCCTCAGACAGAATTCTTGCAACCACATCGTGGGGTGGAAATTCCTGATTTAATTTTTCTGTGCATCTTTCCCAAACTTTCTTAGACAATACAGACCTTGTATAGGAACATTGGAATGCTTTATTTCCAAACTGTTCGACAGTGAAGGAATATGAATTATAGTTATCATATTCTGTCCTTCTCTTTGTCTGGGTGAGGAAGGAAAACAAAGCATGTTTGTGTTGGAGATCAACCCCGTAGTAAAACATTCCTATACTTGTATCTGAGAAAGCTGTTGCAATCCATACTTTCCCCCCAACAAAATTATAAGTTTTTTCAGTATGTTCTATTAGTCCTAATGTCATTGCTGTGGCCTGAAAATCCAATTGACAAAGAATAATTTTGACTTGACTATTTATAAGAAAAAAGACCATTTTTCTTCTTTCTTGCACAAATATTTGTCCAAAATGTAAATCAGCATTCATTGTTGGGATAGTTTCTGAGAGGACAATGCAAATCCCATTTTTTACAGCTAGTGTTGCCAAGCTTTTTTTAAAGTTTTCTCCTCTTTCATTGTCCTGAGAAAGAAGGCCAATCCAAGTCCATCGGAAATGCAGGAGCAGCTTGACAATCGCTGAGTAAGAAGGTTCTTGTTTTGGGGTCATCCGGTAGAAAAAAGGAAAATGGCGATTTTGCTCAGGAATGTGGCTGATAACACCATAGTTGATCTAAGATAAAAGAGAAGATATTGGTAGTTTGTCCTACTCTTAATTATAAAAATCAGATGCTTAAGTGTAAGGGCCTTCCCCACCTCTGAGAGAAGTTTTCAGAAAACAATATCTGCATTAAATTTGCTGGCTCCCTTGGGGTCTCTCCTCTTGTCCTGTTGACTCTCTTTGAAGCTAGAGAGCTCTTTCCTAATCTGTGGATGATCCTCATGAGTAAGCCTCATGCTCCATATCCTTCTGGTTAAACTCTACCCATGCAGCTTGTCTTGAAATAGATGCTGTGGGGCACTTTGCTGCCAACAACTGACTCTTGCATGACCTCTACAAACTCTGTGGGCACTCACATAATACACCAGATTCAGCAAATGATTGAAAAGAACTATCCTGATTTACCAGGGATACAAATATGCACAAACTGTCTCCCTCACACACACAGTCATCATTCACACTGTGAGTGATGCCTAAATCCAACAATTTAGTTCTCAATCAGCTCTGGCCTATACCTCAGCCCAATCCATATGATGCTACTCATGGAACTTCTATTCTTTCATTGGACTGGCAAACTTGTTTATTTCTCATATATTATTACTATTTCTGTGACTGCTTTATATGCTGGCTTGAGATATTTTTTATATTTTTGTCAATTGTTTATTATTGAAATTTCATTGATTTTTTTCATCATTGATTTTAAATATTTGGGATCAACCGATTTAATTGGTTATTAAAGATAAACTAAGATATCTCAAATGCAGAAGCTTGTTTAATATCCTCTCTCTAAGGATCCCAATATAATAGGGATGGTAGCAAACTCCAGTTCATAGTAAGAGAATAAATTTATGGTGAGATCCTGTGTGTTGACTTACGGAATAGAGCAGAGGTCACCAACATTTCTTGGTTGGCGGACCAGAGGGAAAGGGAAGGGAAAGCATTTTACACACGCACGCATGTGCATGCGCGTGTGGGACCGTGAGTAAGCACAAATGGTCGGAGCTAGGGCTTGCGTGATACTCACTAGCCCTGCCCCTTTCTTGCATAGCACAGCACCCCATTTCCATGCTCTGTGGTGTGGTAGCACCCAGTTTTGCACCCTGTGGTGCGGCAGCGGTCAATTTTTGCACCCCATGGCATGGTGGCATCCTGTTTTTGTGCCCTGAGATATGGCGGCGGCCTATTTTTGCACCCCGCATTGCAGTGGCAGTCCATTTTTGCACCCTGCGGCACAGTGGTAGTCCATTTTTGCACCCCGCAGCGCGGCAGCATCCCATTTTTGCACTGTGAGGCATGGCGGTGGCCCATTTTTGTGCCCCAAGGCACAGCTGTGTCCCGTTTTCATGCCCTGCAGTGCGGCAACATCCCATTTTGCACCCCATGGGGTGACGGCATCCCGTTTTTGCAACCTAAGGTGCGGCGGCGGCATCCCGTTTTTGCACTCTGCAGCCTGGCGTCCTATTTTCATGCCCCATGGCTGTGGCACTAGCGCAAGTGGGGTGTGTGCATGCACATGTGCGTGCACTGGTTAGCCTGTCTTGTGACCCAGCAGCCAGCAAGCTGCGGCCCAGAGGTTGGGGACCCCTGGAATAGAGGAGGCAAGTTCCTTGACCCACTCACTTTTGCTTCATATACAGTATTTCCATTGAAATTTGAACCTTAGACCCAAATTTTAAAAAATAAGGAATTTCCTGACTATGAGTTATTAAGTCCTGGACTAGCATGTTATGGAGCTCTATCATGATTGTTTAGTGAATCCGGCTTTTCTATTGATTTTGCTTGTCAGAAGGTTGCAAAAGGTGATCACATGACTCCAGGACACTGTAACCAGCCTAAGTATGAACCAGTTGACAAGCATTCAAATTTTGATCATGTGACCATGTGGATGCTGCAATGGTTGTAAATGTGAAAAAGGTAGTGAGTCACTTTTTTCAGTGCCGTTATAACTTCGAATTATCAGTAAATGAATTGTTGTAAGTTGAGGACTACCTGTATACAGCTATTGTGAGTTTCTCAAAAAACACTAATTCTTATGGTATCTTCATTCTAGATGTTCATTTTCTTCAAGCTTTTGTGTGCCTTAACATTTCTCCATCCTTTCCTCATCTCTAAGAAGCATTCTATTAAGAAATCAAAGATCATCTACATGTTGTTTAGCTTTTTCAATAAAGGCTCTTCAGTGGCAATAAAGGAGATGTCCCAAAGCCCAGGTATAGTTTCCAAACCATGTTGTGGTAGGGAGACAAAAGAAATTATGGATGTACTTTATGGAAAGGAAATTCTTTCAAGTCTTTTAATATCTAATCTCTTCCTTCAGATATATTTGGAGATATATAAGAGTTGCCTTCTGGTCTAGCCTGAAAGATTTACAGCATGGAACTAAGTTCAATTTAGCTTCATACCTGTGGAATTTTGTAGATGCCCAAGAAAGTAGAAATATGGTCAAAGAGTTCAGAATCCATTTCTTCAAGAACTGCCAGCAGGTTTTTTTGTCTTCCACATCTGTAGTTTGGGACATTCTCCTGCCCTGTAGACAGCAAGTCCATCATGGCCTCATATGTTATCCTTGCATTGAAAAAGGTCTGATAGATGCTGTACCCCAGGGTGATGTTGGGTAAGAGCCAAGGATTCTGGTTGATCTCATGAACAGCAAAGAAGAAGGGCAGGATGTGGAAAAAGCTTGTTTTCATACTGCAACATAATACATATCAAAAGATCATCATCTTCTGTCTGGATTTTCTTCTTCAGTTCATGAAAATCTGTCTTATTTAATATAGTTTTATATTTCTATATTGCAATGCAGGAAATAGTATCAGACACATAGTTATTTTCTTTATTTTATCCTTTTATTGGTTTTAAATACTCCAGTATCTTGGTTTTTCCAGGGAAGTGCTTTTAATGATGGGGTATGAGGGTGCACTTAGTGAACTTAAACAACGTACTAAAGATCTGGAAATCCAACAAGATCAAGCTGCTCTTCCCAAGAATGTTTCTTTGAGCAGTCGAACTTCCCCTTGTAAACCAGTGAGATATTTATATAAAATAACGATCCCAAAGATCCAAAGGGCATTAAACCTAGCACATTGCAATGCACCTACCTCCCACAGCAGTTTTGGAGGGCCAATAAAAAAACCCCCTCTGAGGACAAGGGGTCATTGAAACTCTAGTTTGTGTCATGCTATATTACATCTTCTCCTCCTCAAAGATACTGACTCATTGATTGTGAGATAAGCTGCAATATAACTATGGTAAATAAAAATATTTCATGAAACCTCATAGTATCAAGTTAATTATTTTGGGAACAGGCAGAACCCCACCCGGGCAAGAGTCATCTCAGAAGAGTACTGCCAAGACTGCCTAGTTTTGAGACTGACATTTGTAGAGGAACTTAAAAGGAAAAGTTCATGCTCAGCTTTTAAATAATCATCATGTGCCTTCGGAGCCTCTTCCCCAAGGCAAATTGAGAGAATAGCACTAGCAATAGCACTTAAACTTCTATACCAGTTCATAGTGCTTTAGAGTCCTCTCTAAGTGATTTACAGACTCAGCATATTGTCCCCAACTGTCTGGGTCCTCATTTTACCAACCTTGGAAGGATGGAAGGTTGAATCAACCTTGAGCTGGTGAGGATCGAACTCCTGGCAGTGAGCTATTTTAGCCTGCAATACTGCATTCTAACTACTGCACCACCACAGCTCAGAGAAGCAATGACCTACCTTTATTAGCGTAAGGAGTTGGGAACAGGAAATCATTCCTAAAAAAAGACTCTGCTCTGCAGTGGCTAAAATTATCCCTCCCCCCAAATCCTGTACATATTGATAATTACCTTTTCAATCTGTAGATCGGCCACTTGGAGAAATCATAAGGGTAAAGTACAGAAAATATTTTAGAAGTTATTCCAGTGATCAGGTAGTCTCCTGGCTTGCAGTAATTAAAGCCTTTATTGTCTTCTTTTATCAGCTTAAAGTGACATTTCGTCAGCATCATGGTACAGGGAAATTGGGACAGAAGCAGAAAAAGCTGCTTTTTCAGCAGCAACATTTTGACATGTATTGATGGAGATCCTTCTCAGAATTCTCCTACTTGCACAGAGTTGGATCTCAGAGCTCACAAAAGAGCACAAGTGTAATGAAGATGGTCCAGTTTGGCTCCAGATCTGGAAGAGGAACCTGCAATTTTACATTAGCACAGTCCGTGCCTAATTCTACTACATTCCCTGCCCTCAAAAGAGCAGGAATAGTTTCAGATCATATTTCCAAGATTTCTATATCTTGTATCTGTCACATTACTTTAAAAGGAAAGGAGGTAATGGAAGTCCCATATACTTCTTTTCAAAATAGAATAAATACTGCTTTTAATAATTAGAAGGGGAATTGGGAATGACTGTTGCAATAGAGGTACATTGTTGAAAACAACAGTTTTGCATCACTCAGGGGCATAGTTCTAGTTCAAGAGACTGGAAGGGAATAATTTATGGAAGTTTGATTGCCTTTTACTCTTGGAACATACTGTTGAGATTCTAAAGATTGTCATGTGTTAAAACAATTGAACACTTTTCACTAGCTGTCTGTGGAGATTCTCAGTCATTCAGGTCATGGTTGTCCCAAAGGTCCTTTTTCCAAAGGCAACTGGACTTTGCTTTTCTTTGAAGACATTTTGCTTCTTTTTTTTTTTATGTATAAATGTTTTATTATTTTCATCATAAAAAAAACCATCACAAATATTACACAATGCTATGAAAAACCCCCCACCCCCCACCCCCCCGGACTTCCCAAACCTGATCCCAGGATAATATTCAGATATAAGTAAACAAGTATTAATATCTCTAACTCCACAAAATGTATTATTCTACATGTATAGGTAAAATATATTAAAAAGAAAAAAAAAGAAAAACAAATTTACTAAAAACCTAGATTATATTCCACCACTCTATGCTTCTTTTGAATATAAACAATCCATCTTCTCCATATTAATAAAAATTGTTCGTTTGAATGATTCTTCAAGTAAGCCGAAATCTTTGCCATTTCAGCAAGGTTCGAAACTTTCAATCTCCAGTCTTCCATTGTAGGTAAAATT